AAGTAGCAACAAAAATAATTTTATGGTTGGGTCACAACATGAGGAACTGTATTTAAAGGGCCAGAAGGTTGAGAACCACTGTTCTAGAATGTGTGAAGGGATGGCCATTGGCCACTTCTGTGTATCCATCCTGTGAGCTCACTTTTTTGTCTTTTAAAGCCTGACATTGGCTTTAAATGAAACACTTTCTTAGGTGAGATATCAGAATTTAAAGGCATCAGCAGGCGTCGCCCCCTACCATGTAGCAGCCACAGACTCAAGGTGGTGGTGAGTGGGGGCTGGGGGTGTAGAAAGGAGGGGGCTTGGAGAGAGCCTGAGGAATGCCAGTGCTTAAGGGTGGACTGAAGGAGACCAAGAAGGACTGGCTAGAGAGGTAGCCAACAGCCAAGAGCTGGCCCTGGACAGAGGGAAGAGGGCTGTGAGGGGAGGCGGCAAGCCCAGGAGTCCAGGACCAGGGAGTGTCTTGGGGAAGACGGCATCACTAAGACAGGAAGTGCGGTGGCCTGGAGAAACCCAGCTTCCCCGTCGGTAGCCCTGTGGTCATGGGCCAGCGCTGAACTCTCTGAGCCGTGATTCCTCGGCTGGGGGTGATTATATTACCTCCTAGGGTAGCTGGGGCGATCAGTGTTATAATAGAGACAGTTAGCCCTCTTTCTGGCACACATTAAGTACTTAATCAAACTGCTCCCCCGGGAGGACGGTGGAGAGGAGGATGAAGATGATTCTAGTGGGACAGACAGTATTGAAGACACGCGCCGGGTGAGTCGCTGATGGGAGAGGAGGTCCCGGGGGCCGTGAGGATGATGGTTCTGCACGGAAGAAAGTTGGGACAGAAGTTGTTAGGCCTGGAGTAAGGGAGATTTCCACTTAAAGCCGGGAGAGGGGTGAGCATGATTGGGTGCTGGTGGGATGCAGTCCCCAAGGCGGGGGAACTGGTGGGCCTGGTGGAGGGTGCCAGGTGAGGCCCCTCGAGCAGACCCTGAGCTGAGGGTTCTTGTGGACTTTGTTTACCGAGGGAGCGCTCTCAGGAGAAGGGGGCTGCAGGGATCGGGGTCTACAGAGGAAGGAGCCCAGCGGGGAGCTCTGGGGCTCGCCTGCACTGCAGGGAAGGAGTTTTGTGCCCCTGTGTCAGTCCAGCTGGGGTTGAGGTCTGCTGTGAGGTGGGGCGTGGGGGGTGGGGTGTCATAGCCTCTGGAGGAAGGCAGCTCCCGTTTGGAAGTGACACTTGTCTGGAGAAGGGGACAGGGGCCACACTCCCAGCACTGGGACGGGCGCAGCAGCACGGTGAGGAGGATCTGGGCCAGGCCCTCCAGCGCCTACGCCGGTGATATCCTCACACCTCATCACATCAGAGGCATGTTTTCTACTTTGGAGGGATTAGGACAAAAATCTTCAATGCCCTAGAAAATCTAGGATGCGTAATGGCTGTACCCATGTCTTGTTGGATTGTATCTATTAATAACCAGCCATATATTCTCTTTATGTAGGGGTCTGTCTCCCTAATTAGCTGTGAGGCCCTGCAGAGCCAGTTGTGTGTGGGGGGGGGGGGGGCGGCGAGGGGGGCTCTCTCATTCCCAGAGCTCTCCTGTCTGCTTATGTCCGTCGCAGAGCAGACATTCATGAAAGGCCTGATGCCCATTTATTGAGAATATTTTTGTAGCCAGGAGTGAAGTGGCCCAGAGTCCCACCCACCCTCCATGGTGACCCTGGACTCACTGAGCTAAATTTGACATCATTCCCAGATCACACCCAGTTCTGCTCTTCTATCTTTAATTTTATTCAACAGGACCAACAAGCATTTGATTTTCTGTGTGCAAGGTGCTGATCTAGTTATTAGAAATAGAAATAGATACATGTACAAAAACTATAGTTCTAAAGGAGGTCCATTCTGAAGCTCCTACTCCAGTGAATGGGGGAAAACCGCTCATAAGTTACAGAATTCGGTTATGTCGTGCAATGTCAGGAGAAAAATTTGAAATCAGGAAAGATTGTTTTTAGGTAAAATATGTGATTATTGGACTTTAAAATGCAGTGAAAACCGATAATCAAATAACAGGATTTTCTCCCCAAATCCAAGGGAGACAGTAAAGAGCTCAAAATTATGACCGAAAAGATAAAAGACCTGATGATTCAAAATGGATTTTTAACAGGAAAATTCTTTTTAAAAGGCCAGTGGAAAAGGGGCAATAATCCAAAAAATAACCATAGAAAATATCACTTATCTGAAAAAAGTGGGAATTATTCAACTCAAAAGAGCTTACCAAGCACCAGACAAAGTTAAATAAATGCGGCCTACATACAAAAATAGCCTCATGCAAATTTTTCTTATTTCAAAGGAGCTTTGGGTTAAAAAAATTACTTAGAGAGGCAATTACCTTTGATTGAGAAATGAATTAAAATAGATGAAATGTGGGAAATATATGGTATAAAAAAACGCAATGAAAATAGCAAAATCCAAAGTTAATGTCAAAGTACTGTTGTTATCATGGTATGAAACGTAATACAACTGTCAGAATAATGATTGAAATAAATTATTTAGTGAAAAGCAAAAAAATATTCATCTGGAACCTAAACCACTGATGGAGAGAAAAATTAAAAGCTTAATTTTTCTTCTTACATGAGGAATTAGAGAAAAATCACTAGATAAAATTTGATCAACAAAGGAAAGATGAGGGAAACTCAAAGAATCAAAAAAACAAACTGTAATATCTATGAACAAATGATTCTATCTTTATAATAAACTAGAGGCCTGGTGGACAAAATTCGTGCACAAGTAGGGTCTCTAGGCCTGGCTGGCGATCAGGGCCAATTGGGGCCTTCCAGCTGACTGCCAGGGCCTTCCTTCGTTCCACGCTGCCCCCTGGTGGTCAAAACACCGCACATCATAGCGAGCGAGTGAACTCCTGGTCTCCCAGTCCAACTCCCAAGGGGACACTTTGCATATTAGCCTTTTATATATATGATATGAATGGATTAAATTTTCTGATTTTTAAACGATATTTTTATACATTGGAAATTGTTTTTTTTTTTTAATATATTTTATTGATTGTTTACAGAGAGGAAGGGAGAGGGATAGAGAGTTGGAAACATCGATGAGAGAGAAACATCGATCAGCTGCCTCCTGCACACTCCCTACTGGGTATGTGCCTGCAACCAAGGTACATGCCCTTGACTGGAATCGAACCTGGGACCCTTAAGTCCGCAGGCCGACGCTCTATCCACTGAGCCAAACCGGTTAGGGCAATTGGAAACTGTTTTACTTACATATCCTTGTTTATTCTCCTACCATTTTATTCTGTACTTTCAAGGGGGATTTTATTTGGATTATTTGTGTTATTTATGCTTTCTTTGCTAGGAGGGTAAAGGAAACTTGAGGAAAAAAAGATTCAGAGAAGATCGAATCTCATCTAGCTCATTAAACTCTTAGGAGATTGTGGACTCGATAGGGAATGATTATGTCCTATCCCAAGTCTGATTCAAAGAAGGAAATAGCCAACTAATGTCACATCTCCAATTCTCACCAATTGTGCCCTGTGCTACTGCATAAACAACTCTCATTCCATTACATCTCAAGAAAAGAGGCAGCTGGGGAGTTTTACCTACCAGGAGTGGCATCCTCCCCTCCCTTCCTTTTTCCATCCTTTAACAAATATTTTTAAAGTACTGACCTACTGCGTTCCAGGCACTACCAAAGACACTAGGGATACACTAGTGAACAAGTCCTCTGCTCATCGAGATAGATGGACAACATAATTGTAGCTTGAAATTGTGAAGGAAACAAACAATATGATGATAGAACATAAAGGTAGGGGGTTAGGATTTTCAGACAAAGTGGTCAGGGAAGGCTTCTCTGAGGAGGTGACATTCTAATTTAGACCTGAAAGATGAGGAGCCACATGCAAAGAATTGAATTTAAAATACAACTAAAATGAAAGGGAAGCAACAGTAACAAATCTTTAAAAATTAGAGAAAGGAATCAATAAAGGTTAAAATGATATTAAAGAAATAGAAAACAGATAAGGATTAGGGAGATCAAAAAATGTGAGATTTGATTCTTGGGGAGAAAAAAATCCTACATCATAAAATAGAAAACCCATGAGCTTGCTTAGTAGAGAAAAAGTGAGAGGAAAACGCAGATACTTGAGATGAGAAATTAGAAAGAAAATAACCACAGATGCAGAGAAAATAAAAATAATTGAAAGAATATTCAAATCGGTATGCCTCGCTGAACAGTGTGTGTATCTCTAATGTTAAAGCAAAAAGTATACACTATTCTCAACATGTACTTAGTATGAGAAATGCCTACATGTAAAATCAGTCGCTTCCTTGTATCCCCAAAATAACCAGTTAGAAAATATCATAGGGAATAATTAATACAAATATTACTGAGCTACAGGAAGAAAAATGCAAAACTTATTAAGGGATTTTTTTATTCTGTGTATTTAACAAACCCTTATACATACAATGTAGGGCTTACTATGTGCTAGGCTCATTTACTCCTTAACAGCCCTAAAAGGTAGGTTTAATTATTACCCAGACGTTTCAGATGAAGAACCAAGGCACAGAGAGGTTAAGTAACTTGGCCAAAGTCACCCAGCTTGTAAGTGACTGAACCAGGATCCCAAACCAGGTCAGCTTCCAGTGCCTGTCCTTTGCTATCATGCTGCATAGTGAATAAATGCAGAGACGTACCATGTGCCAGGAGGGAAGACTCAGTCTCATAAAATGATCCATTCTCAGCTGGACCGAGCGCTCCAGCGAGGGCTGAATGCTGATCGTCTTTCCAGGCTGAATGTCAGCAGAATGGCAAACTGTCAAGGTGCCAGGCCCCCCCATGGGTGCACCAAATCATGCAGGGCACTCACCTATGAGGGATCCACCGGGAAACCACCCTCCACTTCTCACCTACATGCCCCTCCCCTGGGCCCCCGCAATGCAGATATGAAGATGGGGCAGGACAGGTCCTTTCTAATTCAAAATGCCCTGTCCTCCTCTCTTAGATCCAGGAGATGGTCCACTCAGAGGTTGCTGCCTATGACTCGGGCCGGCCAGGGCCCCTGCTCGGTCGCCCAGCGATGCTGGCCAGCCACATGAGTGCCCTCAGCCAGTCCCAGCTCATTTCTCAGATGGGCATCCGGAGTGGCATCGCCCACAGCTCCCCGTCGCCCCCAGGGAGCAAGTCAGCGACCCCCTCTCCCTCCAGTTCAACTCAGGAGGAGGAATCGGAAGCGCATTTCAAGGTAGGTAGGGTGGCCATGCAAAGCCTTGGGATGCCCTCCTGTCAGCAGGAAGACGGGCCCTGCATGGAAACAGGCATCACCTACCAATAGAAAAGATGCAAGAGTCTAAACAGACCCTTTGCTGGAAAACAAGGAGGTAGAGGATTTGGGGAGAAAATGAAGTCTTATTCCTGAATGGCCAGTGGGCCCTTTCAGTGGCATATTCTGGCAAAAATGTGTGGTCCAGCAGAGGGCGCCTCTGGGCAGCACTGACCTTGGGATGGGGCTCTAAAAATGACCCCTCCATTGGGGACATGACCCCTGCACACGTGAGGATGCGAGCTCACCAGCTGCCCAGGCTCTGGCCCTGGCCAGGCTTTGACACTGACCAAGTCTCCCTGTTGGGGAGCATCCGGTTTAACTGGGGCAGGAAACGGGCCCAGAAGGGCCAGCGATGGACGTGCTTGCCGGGAGTCTCCCAACAAGCTAGTGGCAGAATCAAGACTTGATCCCACACGTCCTGCCTCTTTCTTCTGTCCACGTGGTGGCCCCGCAGAGGCCTGGGCAGTAGCCATGGCGCCCACGCCATCTGGCAGAGACCCTGACCTTCTGGCTGGGGTGGGCACCTCTGGATCCTGGTCCAGCTCCATCACCACGATAACTTGGTCTCTACCACAGGCCAGGCAGGGGTGGTTTTCCTTTTCTTTTTTATTGAGAAAACATTTCTAAAACAGTTCCCGTGGGCCAGCGTTCTAAGCGCATAAGTACTGACACATGTGATCCTCCTCACCACTCCCTATGGCAGGTGCCATGATTATCTCCCATTGGCAGATGGGGAGACTGAGGCATGGAGAGGTTAAGTAACTTTATTTTGATTTATTCTTCATTACTGATTGGGATATTTTATCCTTGGTAAAGGTTAACTCAAGGAAAAGGTGATGGGGGCGTACGCGAGTTCTGTCTGATTACAAGGCGGATTGATTTTTCCCTGTAGAGATGCAAGTGACTTCTGTCCAGCAGAGAAGATGAAACGAAGTCCTGAAAGTGATCCTTTTATTACTCTACCTATAGGGCACTAACCAGTTTCTCTCTTTGAATCAACTTTACCATCATGCTGATTGTCATTAATGAGTTAAACAAAAAAAGTCCAGGGCTCCTGTCCAGAATGTGTGTCTGTCCGTCCCTCTGTCTTGTCTGCCTGTCCATTGCCTCCCCAACCTGGGGAGTGATTGGCCCCGCAGTGTGGCCCAAGCTTCCGTGTTCAAACCTGGGATGGTCAGTACCTGTGTGCGAACAGGGCCTGCTGAGCCTGCGGCTGGGGCGGGGCCCCTTTGGCAGGAGTCCCCGGGCATCTCAAGTTTTCTAACTCCTCTCACCCGGGCAGATGTCGGGAGAGAAGAGACCCTCAGCTGACCCAGGAAAAAAGGCCAAGAACCCAAAGAAGAAGAAGAAAAAGGACCCCAATGAGCCACAGAAGCCAGTGTCCGCCTACGCGCTCTTCTTCAGAGACACTCAGGCCGCCATAAAGGGACAGAACCCCAGCGCCACCTTCGGGGACGTGTCCAAAATCGTGGCCTCCATGTGGGACAGCTTGGGAGAGGAGCAGAAGCAGGTGAGTCTCCATCTCTTTCCGGGCCGTAGCCCTGAGGCTTTGGGGTCCCAGAGCCAAGGACAGACTTGAGAAGCCTAGAACTAGGGGCTTTTGCTGGGCTTGGTTTGCCCATCTGTGGGATGGGAAGTTAGGTCCCTCCAACTCTGCTGTTTCCCAGCTGTGTTCACTGGCGACTTAACTGACCTGGGCCTCTGCCTCCTTATCTGTTAGATAAGCGAGAACATGTCAGTCCATCTTGTCCTCCAGCTCTCAGAGTCTGGGGTCAGACCAGAGCTTTCCTATACCCCTGACCATGTGCCTGGGGCCCTCTCAGGGGCTTCCAGAAAAAACTGGGAGTAGACAGAGATCACAGGCCAAGGCCCCCAGCAGTGTGACCTCAGGCTGAACACCTAACCTCTCCCCTGGCTGCTCATGTCTTGGATCTTTCAGGCCTACAAGAGGAAGACCGAAGCGGCGAAAAAGGAATATCTGAAGGCTCTGGCAGCCTACCGGGCTAGCCTGGTCTCCAAGGTAACCCCTGGAATCCTAGGCACAGGCTGTAAAGTGCGGGACCACTGAGGGGTGGAGCAGGCACTGAGGCCCACGGGAAAGGATGGACACTGAGGTCACTTCTCCAGTGCACCTACTATGTGTTGGGCTCATGCTGGCCACTTGACATGTATCTTGTTTCATTTAATTCTTCCAACAAGAATCCAAGACTCAGAGAGGTGAAGCATCTTGCCTGAAATTACACAATGTGTTAGGTTGCTGTACTAAGAGCCAAACCCAGATTGGCCACTCCTTCAAATTCGGCCTTCACCCCTGACCACACTGTCGGCCTCCTCGGTCAACACCAGCACTGCAGGCAGGAGGCTCAGGATGGCGGTGGACATGTGGCCCAAGTGGGGGCAGGGCTGTTGTCTGGAAGCTATTACAGAGGACATGGCAACTGGGCTACGCCATAGAGGGCCAAGCAGAGAGGGTGCTCCAAGTCAAGGGAACAGCACATGCGAACGCACAGAGGCTGGGCAGGAGCGTAAATAGCGGACGGCCCCGTTGGGTGATGCTGGCCTCACTGGCCAGGCTGCGGAGCGTGGGTCCCCCATCGGCAGGGGAGCCCCAAGGATTAAAGCAGGGCTGGTTGGATGGTTAGACCTAGATGCACTAAGCACTCAGAATTATCTGTTAGTCTACAGCAGCGGTTCTCAACCTGTGGGTCTCGACCCCTTTGGCGGTCGAATGACCCTTTCACAGGGGTCGCCTAAGACCATCCTGCATATCAGATATTTACATTACGATTCATAACAGTAGCAACATTACAGTTATGAAGTAGCAACGAAAATAATTTTATGGTTGGGTCACAACATGAGGAACTGTATTTAAAGGGCCAGAAGGTTGAGAACCACTGGTCTACAGATATCCCCTGAGGGGCCAGAAAGCCAGCCAGGGGTCATGTCAGTGGGTTGCGGAACCTCCTGGTCTCACGGCCCAAGTCTGGTTTCTCCGTCTTCTCCAGAGTGACAGGTGTCTGTCCCCTTCCAGAGCTCCCCGGACCAGGGTGAGACCAAGAGCGCCCAGGTGAACCCGCCAGCCAAAATGCTCCCGCCCAAGCAGCCCATGTACGCCATGCCAGGCCTGGCCTCCTTCCTGACGCCCTCGGACCTGCAGGCCTTCCGCAGCGGGGCCACCCCCGCCAGCCTCGCCCGGACGCTGGGCTCCAAGTCGCTGCTGCCAGGCCTCAGCGCATCCCCGCCACCACCACCCTCCTTCCCGCTCAGCCCCCCGCTGCACCAACAGCTGCCACTGCCCCCTCACGCCCAGGGCGCCCTCCTCAGCCCACCTGTCAGCATGTCCCCAGCACCCCAGCCTCCTGTCCTGCCCACTCCCATGGCACTCCAGGTGCAGCTGGCGATGAGCCCTTCACCGCCAGGGCCACAGGTAAGCAGGGCTGAGTAGAAACCTGCCCTTCTGGGGTCCCTGTGGAGGGGGGCAGCTCGGGATGTTAGATACTAGCCCCACCGCTCACCAGCTATGTAACCACGGCCTGGGCACCTTACCTCTCGGAGCCTCAGTTACCATGTCAGTGAAATGGGTCTGGTGCTCCTTATCTGTCATGGACTCGCGGGGGCAGGGAGTTGACAAGCTGCCAGATAGATTGCTCGGATCCTTAGATGTTCCAGGCCCCCCTCCTCTCATCCTCTGTCTATTGCTGTCTGTCTGGCCTGCGGGGCTGCGGCCACGGCGGTTTCTGCCAGGTCAGCCCTGGCCCTGGCTCTCCCCAAAGCCCTCGAGGCCTGACCCCAGTAATGGTGCCACAGACACTGTTCCGTGCGGTCACTCAGCCCAGGAACTCCATTTTACAGATTGGGAAACTGTCCCAAAAAAGGAAAGGCCCTGAGTGCAAAATCCTCCCCCCCCCACCCCCCCATGGTGCAGCCAGGACAGGGCTGAATTCTTTAGAAGGCGCTCCGCTGGGAAAAGGAAAAGCATGCCATGCTGGGCAGAGCGGAGACGTGTGCAAGCCGGAGGGCGTGCCCTGTGAACACCTCAGGGGGCACGGGCAGTCCCCGTCCCACCCTGGCTGCCTGAGACATGCACCGGTCCTCTCTCCTTCGCTCACCTGCCTCCTCCTTCTCCTCGCAGGACTTCCCTCACATCTCCGAGTTCCCCGGCGGTTCCGGATCCCGCTCCCCTGCCCCATCCAACCCCAGAACAGCGGAGACTGGACAGCAGCTACGCCAGCGGG